ACTTTTAATTCCCCGTGACTGGAGGAGTGAAAAGATGCGCAGCAAGCGTTTTATTTGTGGAGGGAAATGACAGGAAATGTGGGTTTAGAGGTGGGGAGCGCATGAAGAGGTGGAGGAGAATGAGAGACAAATATGCCCGTGTTAAAAAGTCTCTTATATATAAAAAACACAATATAAACACATTATCTTGGACCGATACATGACAGGATACCACAGAACAGCGCTACGCCCTCTGTTGTTCTGCCGAGCAATCGCTTTGCAACACTCTCCAGGAGACGGAGAAGTATGAGAGCAAAACGCTTCCGTCAATCCGTGGGTGTCTGTCCCTTGCGGAGCTGACGGAGAAGCATGAATCAGGCTTAACTGGGAGGCAATTTAGTGAGATTGGAGCCAGGTGCCACACACACACACACACACACACACACACGGAAAAACCCAAATGGCCTTGAGCCATAACACTTCCCCTCTAAAAATAATTAAAGTTCACGTACTTTAATTACAGTACATCACATATCCCCCCTTTTTCTTTTACTCAAGTCATACGGTGCCATCCAAAGCAACCCCTACTTCTGAAATTCCCTTGGTGGAACAACATACAGCGGGAAGGTGACAATCAGTGCTGGGTTGACTATGTGGATTCAACAGTGCTCAAAAGTCCCACATCCACTGATCACGCAGGGTCTAGCCAAATTCTCTCTTCGATGGTGATCCACTGTCTGCCCACTCAGTTCTCCCAGACAAGATTCCATCAAAGTCTAAAGCCTGATTCATGCTTCTCCGTCTGCGTCAGTGCGGAGACACGCAACGCCATTATCCGTCCTTGCTTGCCTGCCGGAGAGCTCCGCAAGGACGGACGGAGTCGAGCTCTCTTTTCTAAACATCCGTCAGTCCAGACGGACAACACAAGCTTGTGATTGGTCAGGACGCCGCTGTTGTTTACAGCGCCGCCATTGCGCCCCCAAAAACATAAAGAGAGCCGAGGATAACAAGCGGCAGACACGGAGAAGCTTGAAGAATACCTCGCGAAAAAACTCTAAAACCATGAACGTTTAATTCCCCGTGACTGGAGGAGTGAAAAGATGCGCAGCAAGACTTTTATTTGTGGATGGAAATGACCGGAAACGTGGGTTTAGAGGCGGGGAGCGCATGAAGAGGTAGAGGAGAATGAGAGACAAATATGTCTGTGTTAAAAAGTCTCTTATATACACTAAAAACACAATAAAAACACACCATTTTGGACAGGATACACGACAGGATACCACAGAACAGTGCTACGCCCTCTGTTGTCCTGCCGGGCAACTGCTTTGCAACACTCTCCAGGAGACGGAGAAGTATGAGAGCAAAACGCTTCCGTCAATCCGTGCGTGTCTGTCCCTTGCGGAGCTGACGGAGAAGCATGCACCAGGCTTTAAACACAAAGAATTAGTCCACTTGAGAAGAAAACAAATTCTGACCTCCTTTTTCCAGAGTTGTTAGGCAGGCTTCCACAGCAGGAGTGTTCCATCTGTGAAAAACAGAAGGGGGGAGGGGGACCAACGAAGCAACCACCTGGCCGCTGGAGTAGCGTCCCAGTCAGACGTCCCATACCAAGTAGGTTCCTCTCACCCACTGAAGATCAATCCCTCTCATGATCCATCCTTCAGATCCGTCTTCCGGGGCACAGCTGAAGTGTCACCTCCCCGCTCCCACACCATGCACCACCAAGGTTTCAGAATGGAGCGGCTGTGAACTATTCCAAACGTAAAACATAAGTAATAAGAACTATAAACCAGAGAACATGCATCCAAGTAAGGTTGTGGATCAAAGGATCCCAGACAAGCCCCCATTTGTTATCATCCAGGCTGTTTAGGGGGCCTGGGGTAACAATTGAGGACACATGTTCTCGTGTTAAAAGTAAACAACATTTATTTACATAAATATAACACAAAACACAGATTATCAAAACACAGACCCATCAGCAGCAACTCAAAACTAGTAACAACTAAACTCATTAACCAAATTACTATTAAAACTTCGAAAGACCATCACATAATTTCCTTAAACAAGTGATGTCTTATTTAAAGCAAAACAAAGGGTAAAGTTTCCTTTACAACTAAAAAGGGTTACAGTTAAACACAGAGAGTTTTCTTAAGCACCCACCAAAGTTGTTACATAAAACTTAACAAAACTAAATGCTGCTGAGGAGACAACAGACCAGAGAGAACCTTTCTGGTTGGCTGCTCCCTGGACTGAGGGCTGGCTGATTTTTATGCTGCTGGCAGAGCTGATCATCAGGAACAGCTGGGAGAGTCTAACTGGGAAGCAATCTAGTGAGATTGGAGCCAGGTGCTGTATCTCCTCTCTCTCTCTCATACACACACACACTGGGAAAAACCCAAATGGCCCTGAGCCATAGCACAGCTAATACTGCAGTGCCAAATATTTTAAGTTGACGATGGCCAGCAAAAACCTCCAGAGCTGTTTAAAGTGGTTGCAGCGACCAAATTTTGCCGCATGATGTTATTTTTGCCTCATTTCTACATAATGCACCTTTAAGTCTTTTGTCCCAGTAAATGCTGTTTGGTTTGTTCTGCTTAGTTGTAGAGTATTTCTTTAGCTTTAGAATAGGTTTCTTTATTAATAATCTCCTCTAATGGGAAAGCGTTGCTCTGTAAAAGAAACCAAACTAGGTCTAATTACCTCCACCGTCCAGAGGTGTGTCTAAAAATGTAAAAGCTGCTTATGGTAGATGTTTTAAGCAGGTTTCTGTCCTTTTTTATTCTCATTTAAAACATTTGCACACATTTTTAATGTTTATTTTATACAAATGTAGTTCTCAATTTTTCCTAAATGATTTTCGTCCCTTAGAGCTCCGACGATGGCGACGACGAAGAATTGTTCAATCCTCTCCTGGAGGACAACACCAAGTCTGCAGCCTGAACTTCTGCTGTTTACCAAAACCCTGTAATCCTGCACATATATTACTGTCATTCATTTTCCATCGGCTCCTGCTTAATCTGCATCAAATCGAATGTGCTGCTGTGTATTCAGATTGTGGTGGAATTTTGTAATCCTAAACTGTCATCTGTACAGTAAAGTATATTTTTTTCTTTTTTTTTTTCTTTTTTGCAGTCAACAATATTATTGAGCTCAACAGGAGTAATTGGTATAATTATTGAATCATTTTAATCACTTTAACACAAATTGGTAATTTCTGCTATTCGCTTCCGTTGTTTATGCTAAGCTAAAGCAGACGGACTGCTGCCAGAATTACTGCGCTGGTTACAAAATGCTTTTTCTCATTTATCTAACTGGGGAATATAAGAATAGGCAAAATTTCACTTAGGGGTGGAATATCCCTTTAATGGTACATTCAAGTGAAAAGATTATTTTGGTCACCAGTGTTTTATTCTGAAAATAACAATAAAAATGAACTGTTTATAAATTGTGCATGAGATGTCTCTGATGAATTAAAAAGTAAAACATGTAGGATGAATTTTTACATCTCATGATCCTTTAAAGGTGTGGGAAACTCATTAAATCAATACATTTGCAGTGATCTCTGCAAATGGTCATGCCATGCACTCCGTTCTCGGGGCAAAAATGCCCAGACATGCTTGGATCAACAAAGACAAGTTAGCTGCAGCAGAGGCTCAATCTCAGCGCACGCACTTCTACCCTTGTGCCCTTCAATTGCGCCATCCTGTCCAGAGGTGTGAGTGCATAGTGTGTCGCGAATTGCGATTCTCAAGTGTGGAAGTTGACCGTGCCCCTTTTGCACCTTTGATTTGCATGTCGCTTATGGCCCAATCCCAATACTCTCACTTCCACCCTTGCGCTCTTCAATTGCACGATCCCGACCAGGGGTGCGAGTGCGTGTCTCGATTCTCAAATGCGGAAGTTGATCATGCATCCCTGCAGACTTGAGTGAAGTATATTACCCACAATCCATTGCTGTGGGAGAAAAGGCTCAAGTGCCTTTTTCTAAAAATATGTATTTTCTAATGAAATTAGTTCAATTCAGGATGATTAGTTGATGCTCTGAAACTTTTAGCCAAAGCAGAAATGAATGTAAATTTATTTCAAATAATTATTTGTTTGTTTGAAAGTTGTTAAAGGTTGTTTAAAAAAGTCTCACAGCGACCAGCATCCCGGCATGCGTTGCGGTGGATGACGCAATGCTCCCTGTCTCAATTCTGCAATTATTTGCACACTTGTTTACTACGCACTCGAAGCCTTACAGCAAGTGCACTTTGCTGAAGACCGCATGGCGCAGTGCGAGTATTGAGATTGGGTCCATGTCCGCATCAACGTGGACCTTGGTGAAGGGTATTACCCATAATCCATTGCTGTGTGGGAATTTTTAAAAGAAAGCGAAGCAAAGACTCAATTGCCTTTTCTGAAGATATGTATTTTCACATGAAAGAAGTTCATTTTAAGACAATTAATGCTATTTATTCATGGAATGGATGTTTTAGACTAAAAGTTCATGTGAATGGCAATTAGTTTAAAAATTTTCAAATAATTGTTTGAAAATTGTTTAAGATTTTTTTCAAAGTAGCACAAACCGCGAGCAGCTTGTCGGCGCGCATTGCAGTCGATGACGCAATGCTCCCTGTCCCAATTCGACACTTTTGTGTAGTACACACTCAAACTCAGAGTTACACACCTCTTAATGCAAATTTAAAACATTCAATGTGAAAAACATATGAACATTTAACACTTGGGGGGAAACATCAAATCAAATCATGCTTTTATTTTGGCACAAACAACTAGACATGTAATCCTGCAGACTCACTGAATAACCAAAGCCCTGAAATGTTTGACTTTGATAGATTTGTTTGTCCATTCTGCAGATTTCTGTTTACTTAGGCAGTAGCGGAAGTTTTAGGACATTCCTGCACTGACTCCATCCTCTGGGCTCATTAAAACATAAGCTCCAGTCATAAACAGAAGGACTAATCTTGAGAGGAGAACCTTTGAATGCAGACTTATAAAACAAAGTGAGTAAGGACTCAAACGGTTGGAGCATGTTTCCACCTCTGTGCTGGATCCGGAAGTCCCTCTGCTGCCGTCCAGGCTGCTGCTCTCTGCACCAACAGGAGGTGCACTCATGTTTAACTGCAGCTGTTGGGGTGAGAAGACCATCTTCACCATCGACTACGATTTAAAAATATCAGGTTTTCATCCGGTTTGTTTTCTCAGACCATCCAGATCATGGTGGGTGTGTTTAACATCGGGCTCGGACTGGGAAGAACCAGCACTCGCCCTGGAGATTTCACCAGCCTGGGAGCTGCTTATTGGCTGGGAGCAGTGGTAAAGATCTGTTTAATGTTTTTACTCATCAGCTGCTGCAGAAATATTTAGACAATTTCAGCTTTCATTATTTATTATTTAGCCAGCTCAGCAAAAGTCTTTTTAGGTTTACTACTGTTTAAAAATCAATAAAACGTTCAAATTAATTAAACCTACTTCCTGTAGAAAACCCAAAAGCTTTGATTAGATCAACAAACCAGTTAGAGGTTTGTTACATGGTGCTTTATCCTGCTGGAAGTAGCCATCAGACCACATAGTTATAAAAGGATGGACATGGTCAACAGCAATAGTCAGGTAGGCTGTGGTGTTTAAACCAGGCTCGGGGGGTGTTAAGGGGTCTAACGTAGGACAAGAACACCACCAGCAGCTGCAGCCTGAAGCTTTGAGACAAGGCAGGATGGATCCATGCTTTCATGTTGGTGACACCAAATTTTGACCTGACAACTGAAACCCAGACTCATCAGAACCAGAGTTTCTGTTCTTAGCTGACGAGAGACAGCAGGTGTGGTGTTCTGCTGCTGGAGTCCATCTAGAGCAGCTGGTGAGCTTCTGCAGAGCTTGGTAGAAACCAGAGCTGATCTGAGCTGCTGTTGACTTTCTGTTATCTACAACCAGTCTGACCAGTGTGTGGTTGATGGTTCCAATCCCAGTAGATCAGAATAGCCTGTCTGGAACCGACCACCATGCCACGTTCAAAGTTCCTTAAATCTCCATTCTGATCAGTCTGAACTTCAGCAGAAGAAACTTGGTGTGAATCAGCTGTTGTGGTGTGCCTAATAAAGTGGTCATGACTAAACACACACAGAAAAAATCAAACTACCTTCTGATTAATTTATTTTCAAGCATTATATTTTTCATCTTCCATCTTTTCATCAGTTTATTGTAACAGGAATCGCGTCCATTCTAGCAGGCCGGTTTCCTTCTTCATGCTTGGTGAGTTTATCTTTGCTAAAACATATAAAAATCTGCATGCTTTAAATTTTATTGAAGAAGTCTCACCTCTCAGATGGGCTTCACTGTGTTCATGAACATCGCTGGTGCTATCTTCTCCATCACTGGCCTGGTGCTGTACGCCGTGGACCTGGGAGACGCTTCTCTGCTCTGGGTATGCGACCGAGATCCTGATGCTGATCTTCATGATGACAACTGCAGGAGCGTTGCCCTCTTTGATCAGGTAAGCAAACCAACTCTGAATCATAACATTTGCTATTAACAGGTTTTTGAATTACAGGAATTATTCTGTTGCAGAATTTGCTGACATCCATGGACAAAACGTTGACCTTCCTGGCTGTTCTTCTGCTGTTTGTTAGTATTTTTTTTGTCGTTCTGGGCATCAGATTTCTGCTCGGTGAGACGAAGAGAGGAGATATTTGGAGCCCTGAGGATTCACACATCTTAAAGACTCGTGAAATGACCAGTAGTTGTTGAATGTTCAGTTCAAGTTCATCTTTCTGTTTCAGGACAGGTTAGAATTTATCCATCCATCCTTTTTCTGCTGCGTATCCGGAGTTGGGTCACGGGGCAGCAACCTAAGAAGAGAGGTCTAGATTTCTCTCTAGATCGACCGGCATATCAAGAGCTTTGCTTTCTGGGTCAGATGTCTCTTCACCATGACAGACCAGTACAAAGCCTGCAGGACTGCAGACACAGCATCAATCTGACTATCGATCTCACGCTCCATTTTTCCTTCATTTATAAACAAGACCCCGAGAAACTTATCTTGTCAGCAACTTGTCAGCTGGGGCAGGGCCTAGGCTTAGTTTTGTTTTTAGGATAATCTTATTATTTTGTGACTTTATAATTGTTTTGTTGATGTTTGTGATCTTTGTTTTTGTGATAACTTGCTATATTAATAAACTTTACATTGTATGTGGTTCTAAAATGTCCTGCATGAGACACTGGCCGTGTTCGGGTTGAGCTGCGCCTCGCCTGGAAAACAGACAAGAGCAGACGGAAGCAGGAGGGGGAGTGGCTGAAAGCCGGCGTTTAGGTTGGACACAATTTCCCTACATGTGTAGCTCGGGGAAGACGATGGCTGAAGATATCGCGTTAGAGTTCATACTTGTTTAATTTTCAATTTTAATTCTGGTGCCTGTTAGCAGCTGAAACACATCCTCACGTGCTTGTGGATATCATATATTGCATATGAAGACATGACTGTAATAATAAGTAAAGGTTATCAGCTGTAGGTTTAGTGTGCTCATAGGAAACGTGACAAGAGAACACAAAACACATTTCTCTTTATGGCCTATATAGTTGTCATCATCAACGTTACATGATTTACAGAATACATGTGACCAACTAACATTTCATGTTCTACCACCGGATGTTTGGATCAGAATATGAACCAATCAGATCTTAGATCAGGCGAGAGCCAGGCGTTTCCCGTCATCCTCTAGATTTTGCAGCCGGTGGAGAGCAACTGCAGCGCCTTGCTCCAAAACCTGCGGCCACCTTGATTTCACGAGGTTATCGTTCCCTACGTATGCACGCCATCAGAGCTAGTCGGCGTCAAGTCGGACACAAATCTAACCGGCATGCACTGCTCGCCGATCACCGCTGGTCTAATCTGCGCAGAACTGGCTCATCTCAAACACAGCCACTCTCACGTCTGTCAGTTTGGCAGGCGTGGCTCAAACGTTTTTACAAACACAAATGCTGTGTTCGAGATGAGCCAGTTCTGCGCAGATTAGACCAGAGGTGATCGGCAAGCAGTGCATGCCGGTGTCGGTACAAGATCTGCCCGGGTGCAAGATCGACTCGTGGTCCTTCGACTGCCGATGACGTCAAAGTAGTTGACTGTCACATCGCAATTTAAATGCACATGCAGTTAATCGTTCAGCCCTAATAGACATGCAGCTCTATGCTAAAAGTGTATTTTCAAAGAGGTAATGATGGATTTCTTTGTAAAAGTTGTCCATCTTTCCAACAGAAAGATTTGCCTGGACCAACGTAACATGATAACAACGTAACGTGATTACGTAATTCCATAAGGTTCATGTTCAGCCAATCAACTACTTTGACGTCATCGGCAGTCGACGGACCCCGAGCCAATCTTGAACCTGAGCAGATCTTGTACCGATACCGGTTAGATTTGTGTCCGACTTGACGCCTACTTGCTCTGATATCATGCATAAGTAGGCAACGATAACCTTGTGAGATCAAGGCGGCGCGCAGATTTTGGAGCAAGACGCTGCAGTTGCTCTCCCTCGGCTGCAAAACCTAGTGGATGACGAGAAACGCCTGGCTCTCACCCGATCTAAGATCTGATTGGTTCATATTTTGATCCAAACATCTGGTGGTAGAACATGAAATGTTAGTAGGTCACATGTATTCTGTAAATCATGTTATGTTGATGATGACAACTATATAGGCCTTAAAGAGAAATGTGATTTGTGTTCTTTTTGTCACGTTTCCTATGAGCACACTAAACCTACAGCTGATAACCTTTACTTATTATCAGTGTTGGGAGTAACGCCGTTTAAGTATAACGGCGTTTCTAACGGCGTTCTTTTATAGGTAACGGAATAATCTAATTAATTACTTTTCCTGCCGTTGCAACGCCGTTACCGTTACTGGGGACGGAAGGTTGTGCGTTACCATGTGCTTGTCGAACGTTGAGCAGCAGCGTGAGGCTTTCTGACCGCCACACTTCAGCTGCAGCCTGGGAGAGAGAGGTGTCGGTAACGCACTTACAAACACGGTGATGACTGGCCGGGTGGGCGGAGACCCTCACTGTCTCAGTCGCTGCATTCTGTAGACACAACGGGAATAACTCCGTTTAAAATAACCGCGTTAATAAAAATATTTCTTTCTGTAACGAGCAAACTAATTAATTACCGTCTTCTTTTATCAAAACATCGTTTCTGTTACTGATAAGAAAATGCGTGCGTGAAGCAGCGCGGTGTGTTGAAGCTGTTATCATCAGCTGATCAGGAGCTAAAGAGGTAGATGTTTTCATCCAAGTGCGTCACGGCCCGTGAAGAACGAGGAACACGTGATGAATATCTACGGCTGCAGGTGCGGGTCTGCAGCCGTGCCCTTCTTAGCGTGACAGCGGGACGTCCCGAAGGTCCGCTCAGACGTCCTGATCTTCTACCTTCCTAGATCATCCAGCTGTAACCTGTTTCTGATCATGTCTTTAGTCCCGCTGTAACACTGATGCATCAGTCTCAGACGTCATGGAGCTCAGGTGTTATCAGAACTGTGTGTGTTCACCACCCAGCTTCAGCTCTTCTGTGGTTGGGTCTGACCCAAGTTAGTAAATGTAAGTCCTCCATCAGATCTGTGCCTCTTCTAGTGTCATTTTAAAGGATATTTATTTATTTATTTAACCGTTACTAGATTAGCAGCAACAGAAATGCTGCTAAAAACACACAATTATGTGAAGCTGGAAAAATTAGAATACTGTGCAAAATTACATTTATTTCTGTAATTTAACTAGACTGAGAGACCATTTAAAGGCTCGGGAACCTTTACAGGTGTTTCTATTTGCAATTTTAAATTTTAGCTGATTGGGGTCTTGTTAAATATCACACAGTGACCTTTTAATAGTCTAGATTAGTGTAATGTTCCTATTAGTAGTTCCTCCTGTTAAGTGCATATTTGTTTAAATTATTCAGGTTTATATAAAACATTTGGACATACATTTTATTATGTTCAGTCATTAGTCATTTATATTTTACTATTGTAGTAATTCTTGCATTCTTTAATGAAAAAAGTAACTAAGTAGTTACTTTTGTTGGTAATTAGTTACTTTTATGATCTTGTAACTCAGTTAGTAACTGAGTTACTTTTTTGACAAAGTAATCAGTAACTATAACTAATTACTTTTTTAAAGTAACGTTCCCAACACTGCTTATTATTACAGTCATGTCTTCATATACAATACATGATATCCACAAGCACATGAGGATGTGTTTCAGCTGCTAACAGGCACCAGAATTAAAATTGAAAATTAAACAAGTAACTCTAACGCGATATCTTCAGCCATCCTACACATGCAGGAAATTGTGTCCGACCTAAACGCCGGCTTTCAGCCACTCCCCCTGCTGCTTCCGTCTGCTCTCGTCTGTTTTCCAGGCGAGGCCATCAACTCGAGAACGGCCAATGAAAATCCTTTTTAGTTACGACCGCGAGACAACATTTCCCAAAGTGCAATGCGAAGGAAGCCGGAAATGCGGAAAGACAAGTCAGCTGACTGCCTGGACGCATTGCTCTTCACGTACATCAACATACTATCAAAATACTTCGTGTTTTTTTCTTATTATTATTAAAACCGTTTTTATTCTTTGGTGAGGTCGACAGCGATGTTGCGACCCAAAGCTCTGACGCAGGTCCTCAGCCAAGCGAACACAAACGGAGTCCAGAGCACTCTGTAAGTACGAGTTAGCGACAAGCTAACGAGATGCTAAGATGCTATTTACTCTGACTCTTAGCTGCTTATCGTTTTTTGTACAAGGAAAGCTCGCCCAAAGAAAAATAAGCGTTGTTTTTTGGGAACGCTTAATGCTTAAAAGACATAATTTTAGTTATTTGAATGTAAATCTTGCGCATTTAATGATTTTTATCGTAGCTGTTTTTATAATGTCACAGATTAGAACGCTGTTGCAACAGATCCTAACAAATACCTCGGTTTATAATGATCAATTTCAATGAGATGATTTATAAAATATTTCTAATTTACACATTAGTGTCTAAAATAGTCAACCTTTCTAAATGTTAATTGTATGATGAGGCATTAGCTGCACCATCTAAACATACATCAAGATTATTTCTAACAACACAGATAACTTATGAGTAGGCTGTCTTAGTATGTGTCACGTGTTTATCCTCCTCAGCTTGCTGAATAATGAAGGTTCCCTCCTGGCTTACTCTGGTTATGGAGATACCGATGCACGCGTAACAGCTGCCATCGCCAGCAACATCTGGGCAGCTTACGACAAGAATGGCCACCAAGCCTTCAACGAAGACAAGCTTACCTTCATCCTCATGGACTGTATGGTGAGAAACACGGCTCCGATTCAGGCTAAAACATTAGGCTGACCTCAAATTGTAACCTTCTTCTGTGTATTTGTTTTTTTTAAGGAGGGAAGAGTGGCCATCACTCGTGTAGCCAACCTGCTGCTGTGCATATATGCCAAAGAGACTGTGGGATTCGGGATGCTGAAAGCCAAGGTGAGAGTTCGGGGCCTTTTCTTCTAATTGTTTCCCACGTTTTGCTTTTTATTGGTAAAGATTTTATGTGTTGGAGCTCTTCTGTCAATTGAGTTTAAAGCATTATTTTACAACAGTTGTTTGGATGGCAAAGAAAACTGCTTTTAACTTTGCTTTTAACCCTTTCAACACTTTCTATTGACATATTCTGTTCACATATATTAAACGTAAGTCTTAACTAAAACGTTTTATACTTAAAGGGCTAAAATGTAAGGGCAGATCATTAAATAAACCATTGAATGTGCAAATCATTTGAAACTAATCATTTAAACACAGATTAAACCACTTTTAGTATTTCTGAGGAATGTGCTGAGTGGTTCTAGACTTCTGTTCCACTGTTTAAAACAGGAAGTCCTTTAGAGTGACCCAGGGAGGCACGTGGATGAGGTTCATCAGGTTTGTCCAGCTAGAGCAGCTCATGGAGAACCCAGCTAAATCTGAACTGAGGCTGAAGTTTCTGATCAGTTTAAAGGTCGTACCAGATTTAATCTTTTCCAGTAATTGTGCTTTATTGTGTTTGTAGGCAGAGGCTCTGGTTCAGTATCTGGAGGAACCGTTGACTCAAGTGGCCGCATCGTAGTGAAGATCCGACCAACGCTTCTGTTGGTCTGAACTGAAGAAGAAATCAGCTGTTCAGGTCATCGGTGGACTGCTGTAACCCTCCTGTCCAACACTAAGTGTACAAAGGGCCATGTCTCTAAATGGAGGGGTGTGTGTGTGTGTGTGTGTGTGTGTGTGTGTGTGTGTGTGTGTGTGTGTGTGTGTGTACAGCTGAAATGTGATTCCATTTTCAGTTTTCACTTGGAATCGGTCCATTCGGTCATAGTTTTGTTGTTCAATGTGAAACTGAACATTTTTCAGGAGTCACAGATGTACATCATGATAAAAACGTGTGTGGAGATTTTATATGAATCTTTCTGAAAAATGCAGTTGAGATTGTTATTTACTTGTGTTTTATGTCAAGGTTGTTTGATAAATGAGAGATACTGGCTCAGAGTCACCCATTCTTTTAAATCCTGCTTTGAGCTGGTGACGGTTGGGTGTGTTTCACCCTCGTAAACACCTCTGAACGTTTTTAAACAATTTTAAAAATGCAGTATCAGGTGAGATAAACTTAAATTTGCTCTGAAAATCTTGTGAAAGGGAGAATTTGCGGGTTTAGAGAAGCTTACCTTGCTTGTCTTTGAGTTTCATCACCAGATAATTTTATTTCTTTCAGTAATCACAGATTTCACAAAAATCTGATGAAACTTTTCACTCTTTCAGTATCCAATACTTTAAAAACAAAACCTTTTTTAATAAGTCAGAAGATCTAGGTAACTTAAAAGCTAAGAAAAACTCATGAGTGCATGTGCATTCTGTTTAACTCCATTTAATCAACTAATGAGTTTTAATTGATACCAGTTAGTGATTTTCTCTTGAGGCATTAGCATCAAATATACTTTCTCACCTGCAGCCAGATAAAGAAAGTCTCAGCTTTCAAAATAAAAATTTTAATCACCCAAACCTGGAGTTAAATGCCTATACAGTTTTGCAATAATCAAGTTGATTTTAAGTACCCTGAATAAAATAATAACATTATTACAAAATCTTTAAAAACACTGTTTTAATGCCCCCGGTTCTGTTTCAGGCAGGTTATATTTCATGTTCTGTTTGGCTTTTGTTTGTTCTCTGCAGAAGGAAAAATCCAAGTCAGCTAAATAAAAAGAAATGGAGAGAAAAGGTTGGGCAGCAGGCGAGCGAAAGATGGTGCTTCAATGTAAAACAAAAATGAAGAGAAGAGCAATCTGGGAGGGGCTCGGTGTAGACCCGCTGCTCCTCCACGTTGAGAGGAGCCAGTTGAGGTGGCTCGGGCATCTGGTCAGGATACCTCCTGGATGCCTCCCTGGTAAGGTTTTCCAGGCACGTCCAACTGGGAGGAGACCCAAGGGAAGACTCAGGACACGCTGGAGGGACTATGTCTCTCGGCTGGCCAGGGAATGCCTTGGGATTCCCCCGGAAGAGCTGGCTCAGGTAGCTGGGGAGAGGGAAGTCTGGGCATCCTGGCTTAGGCTGCTGCCTCTACGACCCGACTCTGGATAAATCACTGAAAATGGGTGGATGGATGGAAGAGAAGAGAAAACAATGTTTTGTTATTTTAATTAAGGGGCCTGCCCAAGGACACAGCTGGGATTGAGCTTGCAACCTTCCAATTGCTGGGCAACCCGCTCAACCTCCTGAGCTACTGCTGCCCCCAATATACTGATGAGGCGATGCACTAAAACCAACACTAGGTAGCAGCGACAAAGCGGTGGAGCCTTTTATTGAAAATGCAAGCAAAGGAGAGAATCAGATCTAGCTGCTGGAGGTAGCGTGGCAGCTAGCATTTGTGGGTCAGCAAAGTTCACGGACTCAGCGGCTCACGGCTCTATGTTTGGCTTTTTTGTAAGTTCTGTTCTGGAGCATAATTCTGCTGGATCTAGATAGTTTATTAAACTCTGATTCCAGCATTATCTCTTTGCATGCTCACAATCCATTAGAAATGCACACGTTTAGCTGTGATTTAATGAATAATATAAACACATCCATTACAGCAATTCCTCACATGACCGTAGTTGGAGTTGTTTCACACTGAGGCAAAAGTTTAGGGTGAAATCTGGAAGGATCCATTCAGAAACAGAAAAATTCCAGGGGCACTGGTGGAACATAGATCCAGGGTTCTACAGGGTCAGCAAAATGTTTCTCAAGCTCACCTGCACAGGTGAGTCAAAAATCATGGCTTAGCAGAACATTTTTCAAGGGGATTCAACATTTCTTTAATCCAAACACAAAACGGCAGCACTGTCATCTTGGTCTGCCAGGCAATCCCACTTTTAGGCACATTTTTTCAAAAGGAATTCTGGGAGGAGGATGACTCGTGGAGGGGTGACTGAACAGCAGGGATCATTATTTTCTCGAGGATGAGCTGAGGTTAGTTAATGACCTTTAGCCCCTTGTTGCCCAGTGTGACCTGACACCACTTCAATAGATACTGACTTGACACCTAGGTGGGACTCTGGACCACGCACAGGTAAAAGACAGCAGCAGCAAGAACCAAGTCGTCTCACGCAAAATACAATAACAAACAGAACCACTGATAAGTGTGTGCGCAGAGCGGATGTTGCACTCAGACTGTCACTCAGTTAACTGAAAAACATTGAAATAAACAGAAAATCTGACACAAATTTTCTTCATCCAAGAACATAAAGAAGATGGAACCAAACCATTACAGCTAAAGATCTGATGGGTCTGTGTGGGTCCCCTCTATGGTCCAGTCTGTCTGGCTCATCTTCAGCCTCAGAACTTTCTATGGGTCACACTGAGAAAACGGTGGTGCCCTCATGTGGGAAACAAGAGAACTACAGCCTTGAGTGTACAGAGTTCTGGTTAAGATTGAAGTCCCATAGTTGCCACACACACTGGTGTGGGGAAAATTGTCCTTTGCATTCGACCCGTCCGTGTTATCTTGCTCCTCACAGAATTTAATTGACCAGATCATCAAACTACAAAGTGTTTGATGGTGTCTGGGCTCCAGCCAGCTGCATAAACATATTAATTGCATTCAAACTATAGTGATCCTGTTTTTCTTTACAGTCGGTTAGTTTATTATTCTGCTTCCGTACGTTTTTTGGCATTTAACTACTTCCACAATTCTTCAACTATTTACACAATTTTGGTATCAAAACGTTCAGCTCGTTCAGCTTATGCCGGCAATGATTTTTGGTATTAAAATATATTTTACTTTTTGAGATATTCAGCTTTTTCTGCGATTTTTTGGCCCCATTGAAATGAATATGATTGCACAATTTTCAGCTAAGTCCTATCACTTTTTTGAACTCTTACTCTTATAGGTTAACTTTAACCTAGAGACTTCATTCAAATTTCAACAAACTCACAAGACTTTCAGCTATTGATGGGTTAAAATCTTTTTGATATCTATCACAGTTTGTCTAAAATCACAGGTAGAAGTTGAGGTACAGCTTGAGATTTTCAGAAAAATTCACAAAAATTTTAATGGGCAGAGATCGGAGCAATGACCCTCCTTTGCTCCATTTCTGGCATTGTCCCGAGAGAACCGTAGGTCCGATTGAAATGAGATGCTGGCTTACAGCTTACGGATATCCCTTAGTTTTGAGCTATAATTCATGAATGTACTCCAAACATTGTGGTCGTACGGTTCATTTCTTTGAGAATATTCAAATTTAAAAAAATGCTTCCCACCACTCTAAACTGAAAATTCCACACACTAACTTTTGACCTTCACATTTTCTAGAAACGACTCTTTCCAACACTTAGACCATTTGGAGTACTGAAACAAATTAGGCTATATCTCAAAAAGTAGGAATTTTTGTCAGCTTTTCAGAATGGGGTTCATTTTGTCCTTAAGTGTTACATTTCTTTCTCTATAAGCCTCAGAAGGAGGAGAGACCCTGATTCTGTCTCATTGAAACCCATGTTAAAGGAACAGAGATTTTTTCCTCCAATCGGCTTCAGACAGCTAACATGTTCTCGTCATAGCTTCTAGAAAATTCATGGTAGGCACATAAAAATTCACACAGATGACCATCAAAGCCTTCTGCCGCTCACGCTTTTTGAAATTTTCCAATAGGTGCAGCAAATTTTTGAATGGCGATGAGACGTGTCAGAGGTCTGAAATGACATCTGAGCAGCTGAGCTCTGTTAAATGCATGATATATGAAATCTTGAAACAAAAATTTCCACCGACCACATCTTTTATAGTACACTAATGATTTTCTCAAATTTAGTAGGTTTTTTGTCAGCTTCAAAGTGCTGTCTTCAGTTTTGCTGTTGGTATTACATTTTTTGTGCTATAAGCCCCAGAAGGAGGACTGTGCCAGCTTTCCTCCATTTAAATCCCTTTAAAAAAAGGCACATGTGGCCGACAGACAGCTCATCTGCTAACTTAAATAAGCATATGTATGTTGTGCCTATATTGACCAGCAACTGATTATTTGTTGGTAGTATCGGTATTTTATAATCCTACTGGGGATGGCCATAAAGTGTCTATGCAAGAAAAAAAAATTATCCATACATTCATATTTAAATCTGGAGTCCTGTATAGTCTGTTTAATTACATTGTTACTATTTCTGTATAAACTTATTCTTTCAATTGTATTGTTCGCACTGAAAGGCGCTTAATGATGCAAACCAACCCCCAGTCTCCTCTGCTGGAGCCTGTGGCGGGGTGCTGCACCCTGGATCTGACCCAGGTTTTAGCTCAGCCGCCCCGCTGGGAGGGTTTGAAACGCCGCCATCATAGGCGGAGATCCCAGGGGGGACGGGGGGGGGGGGGGGGGGACGCGTCCCCCCTCACACAAAGTTGTCCCCCCCACAAAAGTTATTGTAAACACATAAATGCTATCAGTAAACCTGTATTGTCTTCTAAAACCACAACGTAAAAGTTAGTCTGCAAATACAAAACAATGTGTTTTTCATTGTTGAGAAATTATAGTCCACCCCCCCCACCCCCCCACCCCCCACCCCAATTCCTCAAGTTGGTATGGTCGGTCCACACACGCTGTTTCCAACGGGCGGGGCTGTCGGCTTTGCGCCGCTCACAGCTTCACAGCAGCCTGCAGGCTCACAGGAGGCGGGAATTAAAAAGCCAGCAGTTTCCAGCAGTAAGTCAATAATCACACGCTTGTTCTACAAACTTAAATATGTATGTCAAATGTGGTCATAAATGTCAAACATAGACACCGATTATCTTTAGATTTTGATCACTGGTCGGAGATCCCTTAATGACAGACCACCACCACCACAGTAAAAAAAAGTTGTCACTTCATGTTCTCTGGTCATTCCAGGATTATTCCGCTATTATTATTCCATTCACTAAGGTGATCAAAAGTTCCTTTTTCCGGACCCGTACACTTTCACGTCTGCCCCTGGAATCTGCGGAGCATTTATAGATCGATGAAAATGTCTACGTTTCATCCTATTTAGCAGATGA